TGCTGAATGTAGTGTTGACTGAGTGCTAATAGAGGCGTAGTCAGTCCTCCCTTGGAAAGACATCTTCCCATTCAATGAGTTGACCGAGGGAGAGGGAGAGGGAGAGGGAGTGGCTGCCAAAGTGAAGGAGACCCAGAGGCATGACAATTGTGTGTGAGGGTGATTTATCAGAATTTTAAGCTTACTGGATGCATTAGTTGCAAATCATGCAAGAGGCCTTTAAGTTAACATCTCTTAGACCCAGATACTTCTCCAGTCTGATAATAAAAACAGCAACCTGAGAGAGAGAATTGTTCTTAGAACGGCTAGGAAAGTGAGTCCATATTGAGTGTCACAGCTTCTTTAGGAGTTTTTAGAATGTGGACATTTTAGAAATGACAGCAGACTTTTTCTTGGAGAGGCAAGCCCAAAGCAAAGTGCATTAAAACAGAGCAAAGATGCCATGCGTAGGGATTTGCTTTAGATAGCAATGTAGATATGTAATTATTGGGCTCTTTCTCTGAGCCACAAGAGTTCAAGCAGATGCCTCTTAGTCACAAATGCTCCATCAAGAAACCAGATTCTGGGGCTGCCCTTACATACACACACACCCCTAAGAAGTTAATGTTGCTGCTAGTTATTTCCAATAAGCAGAATAAGAGAGAAATTGAGTTACTCTCCAGATACTAATGTAGGCAGGAAGAAGAAAGCTTTAGGATGATAAATGCTGAAAATTATGGGGCAGTTGGAAAGTACTTGGTAAAGTAATTTATACTGAAATATAAATTGCATTTGACTTCTGGATTTCTTAGTTAATGGAGACATTAAATTAAATCTTAGTTTATTTCAACAGATATTTTCTTAGCACTTAGTGTGTGCCAGACACTGTGCTAGGAACTGATTAAAAATGAATGAAACAAAGCTTAACATTTTTTGCAGAAAACAGCAGACAACTGCAAGGGACCATATGTCTGGATTTGCAAGACGTGGTGTCATTCTGTCTGTGTGGCCCTGGCCTAGCCCAGTCTGGTGATAATTCTGTAGACTGGTGAACTGCAGCCACACCATGCCCACCAACATTCAACATCTTTTGATAATTCTGTCTTTAGTTTCCTCGTGCATTCCCACATGGTGGTGCTGGGTTAGTATTTGGAAAGTCAAGTTACTAAGGAGCTTTTCTTACTCATTTTTTCCTCAACAAATTGAACTGTTTCTTCAAATTAAAATAATATGTTGCCGGCATTATTCTCAGGGAAGCACAGGAAGCTGGGATCCATTGCAATGTAGCAGAGGAGGTGAGGCCAATGCCTTTCAGAACAAGGTGTGATGATCAGGCCATGCACGGAGAACTTGGGGAGAGGCAGCCAGCTGGGTGCGTTGGTGATCCTCTGAGGCACAAACACCTGCATTGCTTACTAAGCAATATGTTAGGGAAAATCGCAGGTAGGGAGGAACATAACATGTTCATATACAAAGAGTTCATCTTTAGACACAAATAGTTGATGTGCATTTTAGTGTCACAACTGTGCTTCAATTTTTAATTCTGTCCTCCATGCTTCTTTTAGAGTTAAGTGCTTTTCCTTGAATATTGGTTTGTTTTTTATTTAAAAAAATGAAAATATTTTCAGATTATATTATTTTTAATATTAGTTTATTACAGAGGCAGAGAGAGAGGAAAAAAAAAAAAAGAGAGAGAGGACTTCCATCTGCTGGTTCAGTCCCCAAATGGCTGCAGTGGATGTAACTGAGCCAATTGGAGCCAGGAGCCAGGAGCTTCTTCTGGGACTCCCATGTGGATGGAGGGGTCGAAGGATTTGGGCCATCTTCCTCTGCTTTCCCAGGCCATAGCAGAAAGCTGGATGGGAAGTGAAGCAGCTGGGACTCGAACCAGAGCCCATATGGGATGCCAGCACTGCAGGCAGTGGCTTTTCCTGCTACACCACAGTGCTGGTCCCTAGATCATATTCTTAAACCTTTGTGATCCCAGCGAATACTTGTTGATGGAGGGGTGTTGCCTGGTAACTGAAACATATACCTTATTAATATTCTAGTTTCTGATCTGTCCCCCAGTATAAATTATTTTTATAAGGTTTTTAATAAGCACAGGAAGAGTACAGAGTTGGAGAGATCTGCTTTGTACATCTGCACACAGCTGTCATGTAGAGATCACATCCCATTTCCTTTAAAGTTGAAACAGGACCTGGGTATTCTAGATGACCTGTTGATTCCAAAATTCTTACATATAATTAATTTGCTTTTCTTTTCTGTAAAAATCATAACATACATATATTTGTCCCCACAAAGACAACTGTGTTTTTCCAGGGTCCTTTATATGATGCTAACGTCAAGGAGTACTGGATCAGCAGTGATAATTAGAGGGGTTGTTGACTTAAGGATTCTGTGGCATAGTTTTTGGAGGATCAAGAGCCATTTGAATACTTTAGGAAAAATAGTTCTGGATTCCCGATGACCACACTGTTGTGACATGGGTTCTCCTGGAGGGCTGTTTTTATTAGACCCAAGCAAATGGAGAGAGAGTTGTATTTAACATGTTAAAGAAACTGAAGGTTGGGGACATATTCGTGGTACACTATTCTAAAAGGTTAGGTTCTTGGTGAATCTGTTATGTACTAATAGCATAGCAGGTGCACTCAGATATTTGTGTTTTGCCCACTTCTGGATGGATAGTCCCTTTTGGAGAGGCTGAAGTTTGATCCATGGTCCCAGGTAATCATATGTAGGGGCGTCAGAGAAAGCACCTAACTGCCTGATGTATACATTTGGGTTCAGTATCTCATTAACAAGTCCTAATAGACATTCTCCTATTGGTTTCATACTGGGTGATTTTAATAGACAACAAAGCATTTCCATATTTTCATCCTGTATGTCACATATGGCAGTGTCTGATTTTCAGTGGAAAGTGCCCTGGGTGTGCAGTCCCAGTCCCTGAGGTGAATCTGAGTGTGGCTTTGCCAGGACTGACAGGGCTGCTTAGGCCTTGTGCAGGCTTGGTGCTTTAAGCTTGGTTTTCCCTCTCTGAAGAACATGGGGATAATACTTCTTCTCTTCAGAGTTCTTGTGAGAAAAATAAGAATGAGAAAGCCAGGCCCTGGTATATAATAAATTTTTAAAAAATCTGTTTATTTTTATTTATTTGACAGGCAAGAGTTACAGAGAGACAGATGGGGTGGGGGATTCTTCCAGCTGCTGGTTCACTCCCCAAACAGCTACAATGGCCAAGGCTGGGCCAGACCTGGAGCCAAGAGCTTCTGTAGGGTCTCCCCCATGAGTGGCAGGGACCCAAGGACTTGGGCCATCTTCTGCTACTTTTCCAGGTGCATTAGCAAGGAGCAGGATTGGAAGTGGAGCAACCGGGACTCAAAGCCCCACAATAGATTGATTGATTGATTGGTTGACAGAGTGGACAGTGAGAGAGAGAGACAGAAAGGTCTTCCTTTTTCATTGGTTCGCCCTCCAATGGCCGCTGCGGCCGGTGCACCGTGCTGATCCAAAGCCAGGAGCCAGGTGCTTCTCCTGGTCTCCCATGCAGGCTCAGGGCTCAAGAACCTGGGCAATCCTCCACTGCACTCCCGGGCCACAGCAGAGAGCTGGCCTGGAAGAGGGGCAACCGGGACAGAATCCGGCACCCCGACCGGGACTAGAACCCAGGGTGCCGGTGCTGCAGGTGGAGGATTAGCCTATTGAGCTGTGCCGGCCCCACAATAGATTGTTAACAATCATTGTTGTTCTCCCTCTCTCTGTCTCTCTTTTTTAAAAAAGATTTATTTATTTACTTGAAAGAGTTACACAGAGAGAGAAGGAGAGGCAGAGAGAGAGAGAGAGGTCTTCCATCCAATGGTTCACTTCCCAATGGGCTGCAGTGGCCGGAACTGCACTGATCCAAAGCCAGGAGCCAGGAGCCTCCTCTGGGGCTCCCACAAAGGTGCAGGGACCCAAGGACTTCGGCCATCTTCTACTGCTTTCCCAGGCCATAGCAGAGACCTGGATCAGAAGTGGAGCAGCCAGAACTTGAACTAGCGCCCATATGGGATGCGGGCACTGCAGGCAGCGGCTTTACCCACTATGCCACAGCACCGGCTCCTGTTCCTCTTAAGCTAAATTTTATCCCTTTTTCTCTGCTAGAAATACCTACACCATTTTCCAGGCACATTAAGATAGTTTTATGGATCCATAATTCAGCAACAGTTTTTAAAATGAGAATACTTGTTGTAAGATAATAGTAAAATACCTATAGTAAACCTCATTCTGTATAATTAGTAAGTCTTGGGAAAAACCCAGGGGTAGTAGGAGGCTAGGGCTCTTTCTATGATTATCACTGTGAACGTTCATGAAATATTTTATACCACCAAAACATAAAAACACACATAGAGCTGCCTCTATGAGTGTATTTTCCTAAGGCCAAAACATGTATTAAATTAACATGTATTATCTGGTGAACAGATAATAACTGGTTTAATTTTATACTGTGTTACAATTCTATGTGTACAATTTTTGAATTTTTTATTATAGCTGATTCTTAGAGTCAGAGTGGGCACTGAATGTATCCTTTGAATATATGGCTAAATAGGCAGTGTTTAGGTCATTGTGAAGAAAATTTTAAAAATTATGAAATTTCTATTTGCCATATTTCTATACCACCACTTTTTTTTGGCACTGTGTGATGTTGCCCTGTGGTTCCAGATTTCGTACTTGGAGGATCACGCCTTTCACCCCAGAGGAGCATTTGCTATACTCTGGAGTATACTGGGAAGTATCCGAGAACTTCTCTGCTGAGCAGAACTTTGATCGCTAAAGCAGTCATGGGGAACACACACTCCTCTTAGAAGAAGAGCTCAACAGTCTATACATACGTAGGAACTTGATGAGACATAGGATTGAATGCAGATTGAATATTCATGCAGTGAGACTTGGTGTCAGGGGTTATTGGGATTATTGACCGGTAGCTCACATCAAGCCCTTGTCATTAGGAATCATGGCTTTGCTTTGGCTTTGTTTTCCAGGGCCAGCCGGGGGACCAGGCTGCTCTCTTTGCTGCACAAGCACGGCCCTCCCTCCAACTCCCTCAGTATCCAGGGCTGCAGCAAGCACAGGTACCCACATTTGCTTCTTTGGATGCTGGGACTTCTCATTCTCTCATTCACTCATATTCTCTCTCTTTCTCTCTCTCTCTCAAGTGAGAAATCAAGTAAATATGATATCAACTCCCTGTGGGATCAGAAGTTAGTTACTTAGAGCTCATAACTGGCATTTCAGGAAAGCATTACCAGTAATTGCAAACAATTCTTAGGTTTGCCTGACTAAGCAGCATAAAGCATTTTAGGAAACTCTTCAATTAAAATGTAAATAAATTCAAGCTTCTTTATTGATGATGGTAGAAAACTGAAGTGCTTCATCTTGGAGCTACTTATTTTGTTACCATATATAATGATGCAATTCATAATTGAAAATATTGTATTTAAAGGTAACTTCAATGAGGAAATGTATAGAATAAGAAGATAATGGGTCCTGGAATCTGATCTTGGCACAGTTCCTGGCACCTTGCCCACTGTGTGACATTGTGCAAGTTAACTTTGAGCTGTGATTTCCTTTTCTGTAAAACAGAGTGGAAAGATGTGGGGATTTAAGACAAATTCTTGCACTAGCATATATGCTATAAGGAAAGCCAAGGTCAGGGCACGGAGCCCTTCAGCTTTGATCCACTCATGCTGCCTGCCAGAAATCCATTACACATCACTCTGACTTCCAAGTCCAAGGCATTCAACTATCTTAAAACGTTGTCCTTTGAGGATCTGAAGAGCAGAGTTCTACTTTAATTGGCATTCTGTTCTGTAAATTGTATCTAGTGACCCAGCAGAAGCTTAGGACTACTACTTAAGGCCTCAAGATTAGTGAAATAAATGCTCATATTGATTAGAAAAATTAACTATTCAGACTAAAGCTAGAGTTCTCAAATGGGCAGCAGTCCAACCAGGACCCTTTGTTCCTAGTTCAGGTATTAGTAGTTTTTGTTTTTTTCTGTGATTTTTTTTTTTGGGGTGGAGGAATGGGAATAGTTACAGCTACATTTATCGCACCCGAGGGAGGTATAGTCTTGATCAGGGAAGTATACTCCATTATCTTAATTTACATTGAACATGAGTAGTTTCCTGGCTACTTTTGCAAGTGATATTACTGATGCTATGATCTGTTAAACATTAATGTCATCTACGCACTCCAGGTATGGATGATTGCCTGACTACTCCGATATAGAAATATGCCCATACTCCCCTCACAATAGGAAGTTGATCTTCAAAGGCCAATTTAATCAAGTGAGGGTTCTCATTTTTAACTTGCGGCTTCTGTTGGATCATTAAGTATCAGTTCATTCTAGAGCTTTCTGGCTGGCCTCCCTGCCCCCAGAGCAATCCTTCTCATGTTCTGAGTCTGAGCCTTGGAACAATGAATTTCAGAGAGGGCCTCCTGGGTTTGTGTTTCCCTGGTGAGCCTTAGTGCAAGGAGATCAGGGAGGTAGATCAGCTCTGACTTCTGCCCTGGTGCCGTCCTGCAGACCATGCCTCAGGGCTATACGATGTATGGAACCCAGATGTCCTTGCAGCAGACAGCCCAGCAGCAGGCCGGCAGCGTGGTCCTGTCTCCCAGCTACAACTCCCGGGCCTACCCAGCAGCACATTCCAGCCCCGCACTGATGGAGAGACTCCGGCAGATTCAGCAGCAGCCCACCAGCTACGTTCAGCAGCAGACCTCGCCCTACCTGCAACCCTTCCCAGGCTCTCAGAGGTGAAGCCGCGGAGACACGGTGGCAGCCGTGAACGCTCGTGTCCTTGTCTTCGTTGTGCTTCTCTAGGGCACGGCGCTCTGTTACTATTTTCCTGAGCGTTTGTGTTTGAATTCTGCCCTGTTGTTTTTTTAGTAGCTTCTTGATACAGGGCAAGAACAAGAAGTGCCACATCTCACTGACTTCACTCCAGGCCTCTGTGCTTTGCCTCTTTTATTCTGTGGTGTCGATGTCATAACTTTTGGATGATAACACTATGTTTAGTGCCAATGTTTTTCCCTTTTTCACTTCTTAGAAGTTTTGTGGTTGTTGTTAAAAATATCTGAGAGAGGAAACTATTCAATATTGTAAGCAGTGCCTTAGAATTTGTTGATCGGAGCCATTAAATTTAGGATCGCAGTACTAAGTGTGCATAGAGCTCAGAGAGTTTTGTTATTACTGGGTTCCTACCTTTTACACTTCAGGGATGACTTTCAAAAAAGGATCCTAATTGGCTCTGCTCAGTTCTTGTTTTACTCATATCCCTCACACGTAGATCATAACTGCACTGTTACAGTTGCTGCCAACCACAAGTAGTTATTCAAATTTAGACTACTTAAAATTAAATTTAAAGTCCAGTTCCTCGGCCCCACTAGTCATATTTCAAGTGTACGGCAGCCCAGTGTGGACAGCAGGGCCAGCTTTACCATATATGACCTGTGCAGTCACACGGGATGTTGTGTTTTTCTCTGAGACCTGAGAATCACGTAGCTGGCTCTGGTGGCTTGTGGTTTTCTTACTGGATGGTGCAGACGGAAAACCTTTCAGGCATCATAGAAAGTTCTATTGGGTATTATCCAATAGGTTGGAATTATCTAGAAGAATTTAAGTTTCATGCAAAACTTTACACCCTTGGCAGATAGCAACATAGTTCCTCTATGAAAGCATCAACAGATAGTTGATTTTTTGGAAAGCTGGCAATACTTGTGGCAGCCCATTTGGCAAAATATGTGAATTTGGAAACCCTACATTATATTTACTGTTTAAGTGGCAGCATAGCATAGCATGGCTCAGGAGGGTGAACTTGAGAGCCCAGTGCCTAACTTATAAGTGTCCAGTTAATGTCTTTTATTAAAACTATTTTATGGAAGTAATTTGCACACAATTGCAATTTTTTCCAAAGTAGTTTGCTTGCTGTTCTTTTTCAAGTGGTCACATCTATTTTTTTAACCACTGATCTTGATGCTGTTTGAACCATGCAGATGACTGAACTGTGATAGTTTGTGGACATGTGTCTTGTGCTGGTGGTGCAGGTTAAAAATTTGACAGTACACTTGGGCCTGAAAACAAGTTGCATTTTATTTATTTATTTATTTATTTATTTATTTATTTATTGCCAGATTGAACCATCAGGCTTTACAGCAGAGCCCTCTGGTGGGTGGAGGAATCGACGCTGTGCTGACTTCCGCACATCCCAACCTCCCCTCGGTGCCCCTGCCTCAGGACCCCATGAGGCCCCGACAGCCGCAAGTTAGACAGCAGCAAAGACTCCTCCAGGTATTGGGCGGGGAGGTGAGGGCAGTGCTGTCACCCGTCACACAGGGCCAGTACGCAGCAGCCCTAAGCAATGAGAGACACTTGAGACTAATTGCCTACTTCCAAGGAGCCCTGTGCATTTGCCACTGGGAGCTAAACTGGTGCAGTTTGCTTCCGACTTGGGGGCAAGAGTTTTCTCTGTGCTTCTCCTGGTCGAGGGCAGAGAAGTACCCTTTTGCAGAGCATCTTCTTCTTTCACGAATGTTTGGGGGTGAGGTGGGTAGATGATGCCTTTATTTTGATAGGAGAAGCTTCAGCTTACCTCGTCACTATTTAACTAGGGGCCGTGTAATTTGAATATACATTTCATATATATGATTAAAAAAACCTGAACTGTCTAGGACTTTCATTGGATTCCTAGAGAGGTCTGTAATCCAGAACAGTTTCTGTAATGCCTCTAGTCTGATTAGGCTGTGAAACTGGAGGAACATAGGATGGATATTTCCTCCTATCTCTGTTAGCAGGAAGCTGGTTCTCAGGATTCTGAGGTGCACCTGGGAGGCAGCAGGGGATGGCTCACATACTTGCGTCCCTGCCACCCATGTGGGAGATCAGATTGAGATCCAGACTCCCACCTTCTGTCTGGCCCAGTCCAGGCCTGTAGTGGGCATTTGGGGTGAACCAGTGGGTGGGAGATCTCTTCCTCTCTGTGTGTCTCTCTTTGTTTCTCTGCCATTCTAATACAATGAAAATCAATTTAGAATCTAAAGAACCATTCTTCACTTATCTAATAAACATGTTTAAGTCTCCCAGTAAAAGATTTCTCCCCTTGACACGATCTTGATCTAATTTCCTTGTTCACGGAGTACAGACTGGTCTGCTCACCTGTGCCTTTCGTTTTCATTGTTACTGCCTTAGAGATTTCCTGGTGAGACTGTCCAGTGGGTCCAACTTGAGTTGCGCTCTTATGTACTAGAAAAAAAGAAGAAAACACCAGAAGTGGGGAGTCTGGTAGAACCGGGTGTGGAAGGGTTGGTTGTGCTTTCTGTGCGAGCTGGGTGGAAGTAGACCTGCCATGCAAGAAAAGCTTGCAGGGTAGCTTCCGTATGTCAGCCTTGACGCTGTCGGAAGGAAGGGCAGAAAGAAAATCTCCCCTGAGAATTCGAGCCATAAGCACAAAGGGGTTTGTGGTCTGAATTCAGGTTTGTTCATGAAACTCTGGTTGGTACCACCTGCAGGCAACAAGCAGAAGCCAATATAAAACCTCTGTGGAGCTGGGCTTCACAGTTAGGATGTAACCAATGCCACTGTTGACCTTTTGGAAGAAAAGTTGTGTCACAAAATTGCTTAGACTGACTTACCTCAAACGGTAGAGTTAGAAACATCAGGGAATTCCAATTCAATCCCATCAAGCTGGCATGTACCAATGCCATCTCACTAGTCCCGGTGATCAATTTCTGTTCACAATTGATTATAATGATAGGACTAAGAGCCAAAGGGAGCACACAAACAAGACTAGTGTGTGCAAATACTAACTGATAGAATAAAAAAGGGAGAGAACGATCCAACATGGGAAGCAAGATACACAGCAGACCCATAGATTGTCAGGTGTCCTAAACAGCACTCTGGCCTCAGAATCAGCCCTGAAGGCACGTGGATCTGGCTGAAAAGCCCATGAGAGTATTACAGGCATGGAAAGCCAAAACACTCTGGCAAAAAAAAAAAAAAAAAAAAAAAAACAACAAACACCTAAATGAAAGATCTCTGTGAGTGAGATCCCAGTGAAAAGAACAGGTCATCAAAGAAGGAGGTACCTTTCTCTGAAGGGAGGAGAGAACTTCCACTTTGACTATGGCCTTGTCTAAATAAGATAAGAGTCAGTGAACTCAAAAGGCTTCCATAGCCTTGGCAGCTCATGACAAGAGCCTAGGGTGATTACTGATGCCATAAACAAGAGTGTCAATTTGTTAAGTCAACAACAGGAGTCACTGTGCACTTACTCCTCATGTAGGATCTCTGTCCTTAATGTGCTGTACATTGTGATTTAATGCTATAACTAGTACTCAAACAGTATTTTTCACTTTGTGTTTCTATGTGGGTGCAAACTGTTGAAATCTTTACTTAATATATGCTAAACTGATCTTCTGTATATAAAGAGAATTGAAAATGAATCTTAATGTGAATGGAAGGGCAGAGGGAGAGGGAAAGGGGAGGGTTGCAGGTGGGAGGGAAGTTATGGGGGGTGGGGAGCCATTGTAATCTATAAGCTGTACTTTGGAAATTTATATTCATTAAATAACAGTTAAAAAAATTGCTTAGATATGGTAATCTGTTTGGGGAGAATGTTGCCTACTAATGGCCAGAACCACTCACCGCATAGATGCTATCTGAGAGATGGTGAACTCTCTCTCTAAATCTTCAGTTTTGTCATCAGTAAAATAGAACTAATCATAGTACCTGTGCATTAAATGTGAGGAGTAATTAAATAAGAAAATGCAATTAAAGTACTAGTTGGTGTTGTTACTATTAATATGACCTTTAATATTCGAGGGTATTCCCTTAAGTCAATTTTTTTCCTGTGCTCTGAGGATATATTTCAGAATTTTTAATATTTATGTTTTCAGTTGTTCATGTTCTTGGGGTCCCTGTGCCCAGACTTCTGCTGGAGGAACATTATCATGTGGTGAGAAATGCTATCCAGCAGTAACTATTTATTACTTTGCTCTAAAGAAGATGCATAATTTGCAAACCAAGTTGGAAAAATGCAAGGGATTGAAAAAAACTGGGGGCTGTCACCACCAGAAATGTTTGAATGAGGCCCCTTTAAGGGTCACTGAGACAGAACAACTGTTTACATTTCTTCTTTGTGTCCGTCCTGGTGCTTGTCTAGTCTGTTTCCTCTCTGGCTTGGAAGTGTTTGCCAAGCTCTGTGTATTTGAGCCAGTTTTGTTGCTGATGGGATTTCTGATTTTATGCTGGTAGTTTTTGCTGGAGCTTTCCACAGAGGTTAGTCTGCATCTTGGAAAAAAAAAAATCTAGCCCTCAAGAGGTCCTCTCGGTGTCACAGGGAATGAAAAGAGAACCCCTGAGCAGTGCTTGTCTAATCTGGTAGTGCAGGCTAGGACAAACCACGTGCAAGGGCTAAGGACATGAAGGGAGTTGAAACAGCACAAAGGGCATCTCTGGACAGTGGAGGATGGTGTAGACAGTCAAAGAGGTCTTGGGCTTTGTCCTCTGAGAAGGCTTTAAGAAAGAGCAGAATTGGGTCTAGCTCTTTTTAAAAAAAATTTTTAAGGAATTTATTAATACATTAGATTCTTAGGGTCATAGCAAATGCATGATAATCAATGCAGTACAGTTTTCATGTTGATGTGATATTAATACAGAGAACCCACTCCATACGCTTCATGGGTATAGTTCTAAGAGTATGCTGATATTTCCCATTTCCCTTCCCTCTCCTAATTTTTGATGTAGCACATCTTTAATTTACATGATACTCAAAGGCTTATTGTTCTACTAAGAGTTCAACAAGTAAAATATAAAAAGACCATAGAAGTGCAAGAATATAGGCAAGGGCTATAAATAATCAAATGAAAAGATGTTCATTTCACTCATACACAGTAAATTTTAGGATAATCAAAGCTCATTAAAACTATAGTAGTAGATCATTATTAACCGTTAGCTTGACAAAAATATAAGACAAGGTTTGACAGAACTCTATTTGCAGCAATTTGATACACACAGGAATTTCCGTTTTAGTGAAGTTATTTATTGGAAAGATTTACAGAGAGGAAAAGAAGAAAAAGGGAGAGCTTCCATCTGCTGGTTTACTCCCCAGATGCTGCACCGTCAGGGCTGGACCAGACCCAATCCAGGGGCCAGTAGCTTCACTTGACTCTCCCACATAGGCGTGGGGTGCAAGCACTTCGGCCATCTTTTGCTGCTTTTCCCAGGCCATTAGCAGGGAGCTGGGTTGGAAGTGGAGCTTATTGGATGCTGGCATTGCAGGTGGCGGCTTTAGCCACTACGCCACAATGCCGGCCTCCCTTTCTTTTAATTAATTAATTAATTAATTAATTTTTTTTTTTTTACATTTTAGCTCCCACACATAAGGGAGAACATGAGGTATTTGTCTTTCTGTGTCCGGCTTATTTCACTCAACATCATGTCCTCCAGTTGCATCCATTTTGATGCAAATGGTAAAATTTGATTTTTTTTTAAAGATTTATTTATTTATTTGAAAGAGTTACACAGAGGAGAGGCAGAGAGAGAGAGAGAGAGGTCTTCCATCTGATGGTTCACTCCCCAATTGGCCGCAACAGCCGGAACTGCGCTGATCCCAAGCCAGGAGCAGCTTCTGGGTCTCCCACGCGGGTGCAGGGGCCCAAGGACTTGGGCCATCTTCTACTATTTTCCCAGGCCATAGCAGAGAGCTGGATCAGAAGTGGAGTAGCTGGGACTAGAACCAGCGCCCATATGGGATGCCGATGCTTCAGGCCAGGGCGTTAACCCACTGCGCCACAGCGCCGGCCCCAAAATTAGATTTTTTTTATAGTTGGATAATATTCCATTGCATATGTATACCACATTTTCTTTATCCCTTCATCTGATGGCGGGCACTGTGGTCGATTCCATATTTTGAAGGACGAATGAGTAAAGATGGAGGAGGCAGGTATACACTATTTTCGTCACAATAGAATAATTAGTTAGAAGGTATATAGGGGTAGGTGACTCAAGAATGATCCGAACCCCTTCCTTTTAAGTACACGATTCTTTTTCTTTTCTTCTAGATGCAGCAGCAGCCTCCCCAACCCCAGCAGCCCCCACAGCCCCCGCAGTCCTCGCAGCCCCAGAGTCAGCCCCTTGGTCTCCAAGCAATGCAGCCCCAGCAGCCTTTGGTAAGTCCCGGTGTTCTGGAATCAGACCTGAGCTTGACATCTGTCCCTTGTTACTGTACTACCGTTTGCTTAACTGCCCCACCCATTGTTAAATAAGACTGTTTCCAATTTCAAAAATATTTTCTCTGTGTGTGTGTGTGTGTGTGTGTACACTTTAATAGAAGACAGCGCGTTATAGGCTTAAATATGTGCCCAGATTCTTGCCAATGACTTTCTCCCAAATAAATTTAGAATTAATAATGGCAGGTGGACTTTTAGGGCTTTTAGTCATTTCATTATTTTTTTTTTTTATTTGACAGGTAGAGTTAGTGAGAGAGAGACAGAGAGAAAGGTCTTCCTTCTGTTGGTTCACCCCCAAAATGGCCGCTACAAGCCAGCGCGCTGCGCTGATCCGAAGCCAGGAGCCAGGTACTTCCTCCTGGTCTCCCATGCGGGTGCAGGGGCCCAAGCACCTGGGCCATCCTCCACTGCCTCCCCAGGCCACAGCAGAGAGCTGGACTGGAGGAGGAGCAACTGGGACTAGAACCCGGTGCCTACATGGGATGCTGGTGCCGCAGGCAAAGAATTAATCAAGTGAGCCACGGCGTTGGCCCCAGTCATTTCATTTTTTTAAAGAAAATGTATGCATTCCATAGGTACAGTTCCAAGAAGACAACCACTTCCATACTCTCTCCCAATCCTCTGTCCCCTGTCTTCATCAGTTTTTGCAAAGATATACTTTTTTTTTTTTTTTTGACAGGCAGAGTGGACAGTGAGAGAGAGAGAGAGAGAAAGGTCTTCCTTTGCCATTGGTTCACCCTCCAATGGCCGCTGCGGCCGGCACACTGTGGCCAGCGCACCGCGCTGATCTGATGGCAGGAGCCGGGTACTTCTCCTGGTCTCCCATGGGGTGCAGGGCCCAAGTACTTGGGCCATCCTCCACTGCACTCCCTGGCCACAGCAGAGAGCTGGCCTGGAGAGGGGCGACCGGGACAGAATCTGGTGTCCCGACCGGGACTAGAACCTGGTGTGCCGGCGCCGCAAGGCGGAGGATTAGCCTAGTGAGCCACGGCACTGGCCTCAAAGATATACTTTTAATATAGTCACAGTGTTAATTCACCACTAATCATTATATTCAGTAAGTAAAAAGTAGGAAGGTCACAGTGCCACAGAAGTATAAGCATGAGCTGAAAATGACAATCATGTCCGAAAGTGACCATTTCATTGCTATACATCTTTTTTGTATGTTGTATTAGCTGCTACATACCAGAGAAAACATATGATATTTGTCTTTTTGAGATTGGATTATTCCACTAAGCATAATTTCCACTTTGATCCATTTTGTTGCAAAAGACAGGATTTCATTCTTTTTTATGGCTGAGTAGTATTCCATAATGTGTATATACCACATTTTCATTATCCAGTCATCAGTCGATGGATATCTAGGTTCATTCTACATCTTAGCTATTGTGAATTAAGCTGCAATAAAAATGAGGGTACAAATAACTCTCATTTTTGTGCTGATTTCATTGTTAAAATACATCCTTTTCTTTTGGTCTTCTCACATTAAAAGGAAATAGAAGTATAAGAAAAAAGTTATCTGTAGCTATCTTTATTACAACATTATAAAGCTTCAGCAATGTTAAGAAATTCGTTTCCCTTTATCTTTTGGTTTTTCTCCTTATGAATTCCACTAAGATTTATTGTATGTATTATAAATACTTACTGGTATGTATTATAAAGCTCTCCAGCAAATTGCCTTCTTGTTAATGGCCAGTGTTCCTCATTTTGCTTATTTCTTTGCTGGAGAAGCAGGTGGTAAGCAAGCTGGGTGTTGTAGAGAAGTGAGCCCTGGCTCATGTGACATTTTGATTCATGCTTATCAAGGAGAAGTGGTAGGGGTGACATGGCCACCGCCCTCCTCAGGACTTGCCCCGCTGCTGTTGGGTGATACTCCTGTTGAGTTTGCTTATGAGCATGTTTGGTAGAGCCCAGCATCTGCCAGACACCGTGAAACATGCCAGTGAAGTAATGCATGCTTCCTGCCCCTGGAGGACTTAGACTCCTGGGGAGTGGTAGAACAGGAGCACCACACGGGGAAGGTAGCGTTCAGTTTAGAAGAGTTGGGGAGGTTGGTTCTGCTAGGCTGTTAGGACCATGTAACCAAGTACACAGATTGGGTGGCTCACACAGCAGGTATTTGTACTCTCACAGCTCTGGAGGCTGGAAGTTCCAGGTGGACGTGTTAGCAGTGTTGGTTCCTCCTGAGCGCTGTGAGGGAGGAGCTGTCCCATGTCCTGGTCCTCTCACCTCTGCAGTTTACAGGCAAGCTTTGGCAGGCCTTGATTTGCAGGGTCTCATCCTGGCTCTGCCTGCACCTTCACATGGCATTCTTGCTGTGTGCATACGTGTGTGCACAAGTTTCCCCTTTTTCTAAGGACACCAGCCATATCAGACACCAGTCACGACAACTCCATTTTAACTTGATTGCTTCTGTCATGATCCTGTCTCCAAATCAGGTCACTTTCAGAGGTACTGAACATAGGGATTTCAGCAAGTCTTTTTTGGGGGATGCGCTCCAGCTCATAACAGAGATCTAAAGGTAGGAGAAATTTAGGAAACCTTGCTGGAAGAGGTTTTTGATACCATGCCTTGCAAAGCAGCAGAATTTGATTTGTTGTTGTTTGAATACCCCCTTGCTAGTTGTCTCCTGTGTTGACAGCATCAGCTAGGACATGTGAGACCATGATCATGAACACCCGCATAGGCATGTATCTACCTTAAAACAAGACTATCTAGGCGTAAAACTGACTTAGGACAAAAACTGATGCTTCTTTAAAATGTGTCCTCAGAAAACTGCTTTTCTGCGAAAAGAACTAAATAAAAAAAAATCCACGCTTACAGATTAAATCCTGTGTCAGTTTATTAGCATTCCCTGTATTGCCTTTTGCTGACTTAATTTGCTTGCCTTCTATGAAGGAGGAACATCTAGAAATAAGAACATGGGTCCCCTTCCTAGGAAAATATATTTGGCCTCTCTAGTTTTGGCCTAAATTACACTTTTTTACTTAAAAATATTTTTAAAGCTTGTGTGTTGTTATAATTGAGCTAACTATTAACTGTGTTGGCTAGACATTATCTTTTCTTTAAAGCTACTTTCAGCTTTTCAGAAAATAATGCTTACATCCTCTGGCTGTCTCCTTTATTTTCATCTTAAACTCCGGCTGTCTTCAATGACCTGGAAAACATGCTCCAGAAAGCTTTAAGAAGTTGACCATTTTTTTTTATTTTTCCATCAGCTGACCTTTGTGTCAGTATGATATTGAATATTTGTGCACTTAAATTTTTTGTTATTTATTTGAGAGGTGCAGATAGTCAGACCATGAGAGCCTCTATCCACTGGTTCACTACCCAGATGCCCAGGAGCTAGGAATTCAGTCTGGGTCTCTCACATGGGTGGCAGAGACCCAATTACTTGAAGCAACACCTGCTGCCTCCCAGGATTTATATCAGCAGGAAGGTGGAATCCAGAGCAGAGCCAGGGCTTGAAACCAGACAGACTTATGGGACACAAGCATCCCAATAACTGCTTCACCAAACACCCACACCTAAATATTTGCCTTATAAAAATGTGCTTAATGGGGCTGACATTGTGGCACAGTTGGTAAAGCTTCTGCTTGCAATACTGGCACCATGTCCCAGCTGCTCCACTTCCAATCCAACTCCCTACTTTTTGTTTTTAAAGAATTATTTTTATTTATTTGAAAGACAGAATTACAGAGAGAAGTAGAGCCAGAGCCAGAGCCAGAGAGAGAGAGAGAGAGAGGTCTTCCATTCCACTGGTTCACTTCCCAAATGACCACAACGGCCAGAGCTGAGCTGATCTGAAGCCAGGAACCAGGAGCTTACTCCAGGTCTCCCACGTGGGTGCAGGGGTCCAAGGACTTGGGCCATCTTCTACTGCTTTCCCAGGCCATAGCAGAGAGCTGGATCAGAAGAGGAGCAGCTGGGACTTGAACCAGTGCCCATTTAGGATGCTGGCACTGCAGGTTGAGGCTTTAAACCCACTGTGACACAGTGCCAGCTCCCCAGCTCCCTACTAATGGCTTGGGAAAACAGCAGAAGATGGCCTGAGTGCTCCCATGTGGGAGACCCAGATCGAACTGCTGACTTTAGCCTACCCCACTTGAGCTGTTGCAGCTATTTAGAGAGTGAACCAGACGATGAAAGATTCTCTCTCTCTGTCTCTGTAACTCTGACTTTCAAATAAATAATCAGTGTTTTAAAAAAATTCTTAATAGCAGCACTAGTTACTTAGACAATTGCATTAATTTTTAGTCAATTATTCCATTGATAGTGTTATGTAGTATTTCTCAAAGAATTCATAAGTTCCATTCATAGAAATCTTCAAAATGTGTCTGAAATTCAGATGTAGTCATATAATACTCTTGTTTTCAAGTAAAAGAAATTAGGTCTGAAGGGCCGGCGCCGTGGCTCACTAGGCTAATCCTCCGCCTTGAGGCGCCGGCACACCAGGTTCTAGTCCTGGTCGGGACGCCGGATTCTGTCCTGGTTGCCCCTCTTCCAGGCCAGCTCTCTGCTGTGGCCAGGGAGTGCAGTGGAGGATGGCCCAAGTACTTGGACCCTGCACCCCATGGGAGACCAGGATAAGTACCTGGCTCCCGCCATCGGATCAGCGCAGTGCGCCAGCCATAGCGCGGCGGCCATTGGAGGGTGAACCAATGGCAAAGGAAGACCTTTCTCTCTGTCTCTCTCTCTCACTGTCCACTCTGCCTGTCAAAAAAAAAAAAAAAGAAAAGAAAAAAAAAAGTATGTCTCGAGAACATTGTTGAGTTACATTGCTTTCCTTTGCATTAACTTGGATTTTTTTTCTTTTTGAAGACAAAGGAGAAGTAGTGTTTATAGAAGAGTTTTTTCTGTTTGCTTGGATTTCTGGTAACAGGAGAGCCAACATACTTGATACATTTTTTTCCTCACTGAACTATGTGCAGATCAAAAAA